TGAATACTCATGGCACATCCTAGTGGCTGTAATTTCAAAACCCAAGAAAGTTCCCTAAGGAGCTATGCCAATTTTGAGGTATTCACATAAAAGTATGAATAGGGGAAAAAAGGAGAAAAAAAAACCAAAACCAAAACAGAATATCATTAACATTAGCCAATACAAAAGGGATTCTTTTATTATTTTTTTGGAACTTGTAAAATTATTTCTGGTCATTTACAAATGCGGAAAAACCAACTGGATGATTGTTACTTTTCAGCAAGAGAGGGATTAATCAATACATCATGCAAAATGTAGGCAAGGAAAATCTCTGGTCTCTCTCTGCTTCTTGCAGTGCCTGATTTATAATTTACACAGTTCGGATGCTCAAAAAGAGTTCTGTTGCTCCTACATGGTACCAAAGAGTTTATAAAGAAAAAGGTATTTAAAACACCTCTCACCTTCAAAGATCTGCTAATTCTAGGGATTCTTTTATTATTTTTTTGGAACTTGTAAAATTATTTCTGGTCATTTACAAATGCGGAAAAACCAACTGGATGATTGTTACTTTTCAGCAAGAGAGGGATTAATCAATACATCATGCAAAATGTAGGCAAGGAAAATCTCTGGTCTCTCTCTGCTTCTTGCAGTGCCTGATTTATAATTTACACAGTTCGGATGCTCAAAAAGAGTTCTGTTGCTCCTACATGGTACCAAAGAGTTTATAAAGAAAAAGGTATTTAAAACACCTCTCACCTTCAAAGATCTGCTAATTCTCTGCAGTCCTACAGCTCCCCAGAGAGAAACATCTGTGAAAGTCCCATACATTCAAATTCAGTCACCAGTAAGACCTGCCCTTTTACTGGTATGAACAAAAGAGTTTTTAAAGATCAATTTACTGCACATTCGACTGTTTACAAGGGTCACAGCGGTTACCAGTAAGACCTGCCCTTTTACTGGTATGAATAGAAGAGTTTTTAAAGATCAATTTACTGCATATTAGGCTGTTACAAAGGGTCACAGCAGTTATAAAAAATGAAAAGCACATATTTTATATGAGAAAAAACAAGACACAAAACTGAAGTCTTTGGAACTCCATGAGAAATGGAGACATTACAACACCAGAAGAGAAAATGCAAGCTTACCAGTACGCAAAGAGGAGAGTTTTGGTTAAAATAGGTGCAAGAAAGATGTAACAGCTTATATAAAACAGCTGTGACCTGAAAATGTCATCCAAGAGAGACTGTAGAGTATGAAAGTCTATTCAAAGGATTACTTCAAAATTTGTAATTTAATTTTTTCCAGTTAATATTAGTTCATAACATCCATTTCAAGTGTTTAATTCTACTGGATACACTCGCATCATCAGCAAGCAGCTGAAGAACTCCGTGGCAACGTGAGATACAGGAGCAGAAACTCGGCAGTATTTCAACGGCTGATGAGAAGAGACAGGTGATGCTGAACACCATTCATCAAATACAAGCCAATCACCAGCTCAAAACAGATGAAAAACCGACAGCATAACAAACAACTCCCCAGACATCTGATCCCAACATATCCAGCCTTCTGTTTCTACGCTGGAGGCTCTGAAATCATCTCTGTCCTCCCTTCATTCTGCTCTTCCCCATCTACCTGTTCGGAAACAAGGTTCAGGTTTGTGCACAAAGCAACCAAACCCACAGACACACTCTGACCCACACATTATTATATTCATGACATTAAAAGAGTTCTTCAGTTGTGTAAGTTTAAAATAAAATTCTCCTGCATGCTTATATGAAGTTTCTTTGGTGGCCCAGGTTGCCCCGAGAAGCTGTGGCTGTCCCATCCCTGGAGGGGTTCAAGGGCAGGTTGGAGGGGGCTTGGAGCAACGTGGTGTGGTGGGAGGTGTCCCTGCCCAGGGCAGGGGGGTTGGAACTCAATGATCTTTAAGATCCCTTCCAACTCCAATCATTCTATGATTCTATGATAAAAAAAAACCCAAATCCTCCCATGCTGATCATCTTCTACCACCAAAACCTGTTAAATACATTAAAAAATTTCAACTAAGTTTTCAATACAAGACAAAGTTGGGTTTGAGGTTTTTTCCCACCCCAAGAGGGAAAAAGAAGAGAGGTTTTTCCCCACCACCACCTATAAGTTTCCTAGAAATAATCCACAAGCAGCAGAGAGCCCACCTGAAGCTACAGCAGGAGACCAGCCTTACTTGACAGCAGATGGTCTGTTCAGGGAAGCTTATAAAGATACCAACTATGAGAAAAGCTTCAGTCAGATCCCACAATCAGTGAGATAATTGCATCAGAAATCAGATGCTGTTAATGCTGACAGTCACAGTACCACCTGTTTAAAAAGTTTATCTCTTGACACGGCCAAAGGCAGCTCTAGTTTAAATCTGTGGATTTAATTTTACATGCAATACTCAAACCCAAAATTCAAACATGAGAACACCAAGACCTCGTGATGCTGCTGCAACGTCGAGATCAGGGGTCTCCAAACCGCATGACACAGGATAATGTGTTATTTGCTACACACCATCCTTTGAGGTATGTTCACTGGACACCACGAGCACCACTTCAGGTGGAAGGGGAAAGCCAAGGTTGGGGTTTTCCCTGTGGTTCATTATCTGGTCTATATAATTACCCACATACAAGTCTAGATGGGAACACAGACCTCAGTATTTCGAGGATTTGGAATTTAAAGAAGATAGTACATTCCACGTTGCGTTAATACAGCTGAAATAACCCTTACTAAAGGAATTTATCTCAGCTTAACATAAAACAAAGAGCTCCAGGAGCACTAAACAGAGAAACTTTCCAGAAACACCATCATACTTGGGTTGTCTGATGCTTAATGAAGTGAAAGTTGAACTTCTCGCAGTTGAAGTATTTCTCTTCTCCCCTCTCTCCTGCACGGATGTCTGTCATCTAACAGTAGGCAAGTCTATGCCATGGAATTGATGTTTTTCTCCTCTCCGACATAAAAGTTCCTACAAAATTTATGCCTCAGATCTCCACTCTGCTGTCAAATTTGGTTAAAATTAGACAATGATTAAAAAAGCGAGAGGGGGGAAAAGATGGTTTCCCTATCTATCTTTTCCTCAGAAAGCAGGTTAATAGTCAGTAGCATCAGGATTGTGAGCTTACACTAAAGAAAAAAAAAAAAGTATCCCTCAGGAAAAACAAAGAAAACCCCAAACTGAGCAGAAGCACGGCCAGCCACAAGCAGGGCTGGAATTCTTCCTCATTTCGTTTCCGAGACCGAAAGCTCTCCTAAAGACAGATTGTCAACTTGTGACCGGCCTAATCAGCCAATGCGGAGTCCCTTCACGTCTGCGCGAGGCGAGTAATTATCATAATAGACATTAGTAATTAATTTCCGGCGTGATGTCAGCTGGTGCGGCGATGCCAAGGCAGCGTCCTTGTCAAACACCCCCCCACAAGCCGTCTGGACAACTTGGGTCCCATCTCCCTGATTAGGATGCGCGCTGATGCACGGCCTTAATACAATCTGCCATCAAATGCCAAAGAGTTCAGAACTAAATTAGGAAATATGTCCGGCTTTACGGAGCGAGGCTCGGGGGCCTAAGTAGATTTCTCTATTCCTTTATGAGGCACAAAAGGCGAGCACCGCTGTAATGCCCCCCGAATGAGGCAATCTTACCTTCTAACCTCCCACCTCTGCAGGGAAAAGAATTGGATTAGAAGAGCAAAGGAATTAATAAAGACAGCACGGCCTCGCAGCATCTCTCAACCCTAGAGGTATTTATGGTGGCCTCAGCATTTCCCCGGTGAGCGCGAATTTTAAGGGGAAATTAGATGCAGCTGGACACATTAATTCCCCTCGCAGAGGTAATCCTAAATAAAGCTTTCCTGTCCTAGCCGCTTGCCAAGGAAAACTGCATTTTCACACTCCAGCCCACAGCTCCTTTCATCTGGGTGCTCACCTCCTGCTTCTTTCTCCACCTGCCTGGAGTACTCTCCTCCTTCCCTCTTTCCTGACAGCCCATCACACGCCTGAAGTATAACCACACACACACAAAAAAAAGAAATTAGAATGAAATTAGGAAGTGGAAAAAGTTAAGAAAGATGCAGAAACAAGAGAGAAACTCTTCTCAAGGCATCTGAAAACAGGTCTTTCTGCAGCTTGGTCACTGCCCTGGAGGGAGGCTGTGTCCAGGAGCAGGACACTGCCACCAGCTACCTGGGATCTCTGGTAGGATTCTGAGTCCCTCTAAAATACAATTATTTATGCTACCTATTTGGGTCTGAAAATCCAAAATAACACCTTCCGCAAGCAGATAAGTTTGAGAAGAGCTGCATTAGAAGCATTCCTCAGCCCTGAGTCTTCAGCAGGGTTACAAAACCAGTCTGGTTTGGATCTACGCTGCTAAGATGTACTGCTAAAAGAAGCAGACTGTGTCACGTGGGGCTTCAAACCTATGATTATTGTTTAGCTTTCCCAAATACAACAGTGACACCATCCTCACCAAATTGGAAGAGACTTAGTTCAAATCCTCAAGTGGACAAAAAGAAGCAGCATCCTCCTAAGATTGCACTTCTGCACATACAAGGCTTGATGTGCTGCTCAGGATGCCCTGAGGTTGAGGGAGCTTTTGGCTTTTTGGGGCAGGGGTTGTCTATTGGGGTTTTTTGGGTTGTTTTTTTTTTTGAGATGGGTTCCCCCTAGAGGGTCATTGACACAGCATCCAGCTGAATGAGCTGGGACTTGGCTGAGGAGAAGAGGATGAATGAATGTTAATTATGAAGGTGTTTAAATCTTACAAAAAAAAAAGTTAACGTGCTGCTCAGGATGCCCTGAGGTTGAGGGAGCTTTTGGCTTTTTGGGGCAGGGGTTGTCTATTGGGGTTTTTTGGGTTGTTTTTTTTTTTGAGATGGGTTCCCCCTAGAGGGTCATTGACACAGCATCCAGCTGAATGAGCTGGGACTTGGCTGAGGAGAAGAGGATGAATGAATGTTAATTATGAAGGTGTTTAAATCTTACAAAAAAAAAAGTTAACTAAATACCTGGTTGGGCTCATTCAATAACCAGCCAAAGTTTTTGACCCCAAAGGCTGCTTCGTGAGCTGACACATCGAGACACGTGACAGGTTGACCATAGACAGAATGGAGAATTTTGCCAGCAGGATCTTCTGCTTTCAGGAGATAGACAACGTCTTCTGCAGCTGCTACTGTCACTGGACTCCCCGTAACATCTGGAACCAGATTAAGGAAGTTGACCTAAAAAGAGCAGACTTTTTATTGTTATTACAACCAAAAACTCTTTTACGTCACTACTGCCCCATGTTAAGCTGAGCAAACTACTGATGTGTGCTTATTGGCTATCTTGAATCACACCAATTATGGATTAATCTCACACAAAGACCAATTATCAACTTTATTTCTGAGCTTTTGAAAGTTTGGCTCCTATGATGGATCTTTAGAATGAGACCAGATAAAAAAAACTAATCAGACCACATTATAACAGAACAACCGAAATGTGATGTCAAAGAAAGGAGCAAGACTTAATGGACTTACTCAAATTAGAAACAGAAAGCCATAAGTTTAAAGCACACAAGGCAAAAATTGTGGCTAGAATAGAAATACAGTGCTCCAAAAGAGGCAACACACTCATGCAATTAACATGGAAGAGTTGACACTTACCCTGCAATCATGTGTATATACCCTAATTAACAGAAAGATCATCACATGACAGTAGCACAGCCCAAATATCATGTGTATATACCCTAATTAACAGAAAGGTCATCACATGACAGTAGCACAGCCCAAGTACCACATCCCCTGTCTTCTGTCACAAGACCAGAATGACGTTTCTCTTCATATTTCATAGAATCATCACAGCCTCATAGAATGGTTTGGGTTGGAAGGGAACTTAAAGACCATCCAGACCCACCCCCTGCCCTGGGCAGGGACACCTCCCACCACACCAGGTTGCTCCAAGTCCCCTCCAACCTGGCCTTGAACCCCTCCAGGGATGGAACAACCCGGCCCAGGGTCTCACCACCCTCACAGGACAGAATTTCTGCCTGAGATCTCATCTCAATCTCCCCTCTTGCAGTGTCAAACCCTTCCCCCTTGTCCGAGGGCTCCCCTCCCTGACCAAGAGTGTCTCTTCCCCCTCGTCCTAGGGCTCCCCTCCCTGCCCAGGAGTGTCCCCTCAACTTTCCTGGAGCCTTTTTAGGGACCGGAAGGGGCTCTAAGGTCTCCCTGGAGCCTTCTCTTCTCCAGGCTGAACAACCTCAAGACACTTCTGAAAAGCCTCACCAGAGGAAGGGTTTAAACTCCTCAAGAGCACAACTGATTCCTAAAACAGGGAGCACGGTGTCCTGAGTGTCTGTCTGTCATGCGTGGCAAAGTGACATTTCACAGCCAAGTAGTGTTGGTTTAACATTTTTATTGAGAAATGAAATCCCCAAACATTTAAATATTCTAAGACTGGCTAAGCTTTGAAAAGAGGGGATTAATCAGGAGTGGTTTAAATCACAACTTCATACCCATTAGCTGCACAGTAGCTTCTTGCAATAGGAGAGAAGCTGCAAGACCCAATTTATTCCTACAGGCTTCCTCACCCTTTCACAAAAAAAAATAAATGTTGATATTCTGAGACATAATAAAACTTCTGCAATTGGGACAGCTTTTGATTTTCAATTAAAGTAGTCTCAAAACTTCAGTGACAGAAGGTGCAACCTAAAGAAGCTGCACAACTAGTTACAGCTTCACAAGTGATACTATTAACTCGCCTGCAATATCCTGCCTCAGAATTAATCAGATCGTGTTGGTCTGGAATGAGACCTCGAGTTTTAGCTCCAATTCTACGCAAGAAAACTGATTTACAGAATGAGCCAACTTAGTTTAATGTTGACAAAAAAATAATTAAAACCAGCCAACCTCCTGCACCATATGGACTTTTTTATTCATTTTCACTTGTAGCTAAAGCCAACATTTCACCCTTGCTCTTCGGTGATGAAAGGCTGATCCATTAACCTGCCTCAAAATCACAGCCTCTAGCTGATAATGCTGTTATCTAGTTGAGGCAACTTCTCTTGTAAGATTTTTATAAGATCCCTCTTAACTGTACCAAAAATAATTAGTTGATCAGGAGCTCCTGGAATGAAGCTGAGTAGCCTGGAGACTCACCAATTTCTGGATTTCAAATGTTTCTATAGTTTGCCAGAATCCTCTGTCGTTAGGGCTTTCCACTTTGACCTGGAAGCCAGACGCCGTTGCTACCGTCGCACCCTCTGCACCGAGAGCTAAAGCCTGAATCCTCTGATTGTGCTGGTACCGATGGATGGGCTCCCGCCCGAACATCAGGCTCCACACGCTGACTGTGCCTGCATACAGAAAAAAAAAATAAACACTACGCTTTATCTTAGAATTTAACAGATCATTTGAAGATGTATGCTTTAAAGCATTCTAATAAGAAAAGTTAATATACAGAAAAGACTGCAGGGCAGGAAACCAGAAGTTCAGGATGCGGCAGAGCACCACAGAGGAAACCTTCCAAAATTACATCTCTGGCACTAGAGGCTTTATTGCTCCGTAAGCAATTCCTAACTTTTGACTTTCAGATAATATTGGTAACTGCCTTGAGGAAGACTGTTTAACTTCTGTCACATTTCAACGTCTGGAGAAGATCAGACTTAAACAGGCATCTAAATTTTTGTTCTACTACATACTTGCCCTCAATTGCCCCATAAAATAGAGAGGCAGAACCCACGTTCAAATTTAAATCACTCTGACACACACACAAAAAGTTTTAAATTGAAGAATCTGAAGGTCCACACACACAACAATCCGGGGGTTTTAATACCATTCTTAATAGTTTCCACCCAGCAACAAAACTCCTAATCCTGATGCTCTGGAAAAAGGGAAAGTGACGAGAAGTTCACAAAGCCAAAGAAAACAAATCCCAAAGAATACAGGAGTATAAGTCAAAAGACAATACATTTGCCATTGCATTTTTTTCCCCCAGCACAGATCACCAATATTCTATTTAAAAGCTGGTACATTAAAACAATCTGAATAAGAGGAAGCTGAAGCAATCAGGAGTGTGTTACAGAACAGAAGGGCCAGACGGAACGGGAGACTTGGGGGCCACCTTTGCAGTGAATTAAAGGAGAAGCAATCTTCAGACGTGACACGCAGGGCTGGAGAAGCCTTCCTTCTACTCGAGCGTGGCCATTAATGATGAAATGATTAATGGGAGCTCTTCCTTCAAAAGGAGACATAAAAGCTCTGACAGACAGCTGTGGACGGGCACCAATGCCAGTTTGCAAACACTCCTCCCGCGTCCCAAAGGAGGTGAAGCAAGAGTGTGGTAATGAAACTGCACATAGTGAAATGGTATCTAAATGAGTTTAAATTGATTTATGTTTGTTTTTGTAAAGATTATTTGGTATCTGGAAAGTGCTACCGATGTGAAATAATGCAGATAATCCTTAAGATCCCTGTCTAATGGCACTCCCACTGAATATTTATATTCCTCGCCATGGGAATGAATACCATAATGGGGACCATTTTTGTTTTATTAGGGATGCATATTTAAATTAATCTGCTATTTGCCTAAACAATTAGCTGCCTCTGTTTGTTTACACAAAGCCAAAACTGCAATTAGGCTTCCATCAAAAAGATAAGTCCCAACTAAAACTGTCCCGATGGAGTCATAAGGGCTCAGAGCAGAACTTCCCAAAATTACTTCTTAGCATAATGGTAATTATGTTAATTGCTTAAAAGGTAAATAACTGCTGAACTGGTTTTGAAAAACAGAATGCTAGCTCAATATTGCACGCACTTACGCTTAAAACAAGTTAACAAATACAAATGGACAGCACGGGCTCCAAGTCCCCGCGCAGCCGGCTCTGCCCACGCCAAGGCTCAGCTTCTGCGCCTCCACAGCCAGTCCCCGGCTCCAAACTGCTCCCAGGGAAAGGGGTGAAGTCTCACCCCCAGGATGGCAGGTTTAAACAAGCAAATAAAAAACCATCAGTGATAAAAGATCGTAGCGATATCAGATCACGGATGTTATCACCGGACTTTGTCATCAGAGGATGAATATTGTTGCCCAACTCCTCTGGGCAGGAGTATTTTTGGCCTCTTTTTTTTTTTTTTTTTTTCAGAACATTTATCCCAATTAAAGATCACTTTGGGGAAGGGGAAAAGGAAGTTGAATTCGCTTTCAGGGAAGTCTTCTGTTTATACATCTCTGCAATGAGCATTTCACTGTTTGAACAGAGTGTATTAACATGTGAAAGTTCTACAGAATACAAAAGAAATATTCAAGTCAAACAAGCCTCTTCTGACCACACCAGCAAACTGGGGAACCCAGAATTTAGAGTTCTGCCCTCCAAATTTGGGCACCAAAGCTAATATTATTATTATTGCATCTCAAGCATCACAAAAAGAGAAGACAGCAAAAACGGCTGATGCAATCGTACAATCAGTTTGAGACACACACTTTTTTTTCACCAGATGTTCAATAGCAAAATCTGTTCAAAATATCTACATTATCTGGCAAATACAGTGTGTGCAACACCTGATGCACAATATGGTGTGAAAATATCCCTGGTAATATCAAAACCACAAGTGACTTGTTAGGTCACTTGTTAACATCTGTTTAATGAAGCAGCACAACAGAAGGAGTAAAAAGGAGTTGAAAAGGAACGTAAGGAGCAGGAGAAATACTATTTTCTTTCAACAGGATGAACAAGTGTTTGTTCACAAAAGGATTGCTCGTGCCCCCTTGCTTCTCCCTCCCTCCAAAAGTGTACAGTTCCCTGCGTACATCCTCATCATCTGCTACTTGCTACCAGTCAGAAGCTTCAATCACTGCGTGTACGGACCTTCTGTCAAAACAGGTGTATCAATTTTACACAGAAAAAGCAAACACTCCACTGTGTTTACCAATAGTTACTACTAGGTTTAAAAGCACTGCTCAGAATATTCTGTATTCTACATTTCATTGCAGAAACAGCAAAATGTATTTATTAGCATGCAAGCCTTTGCAACAGTCAATCACGTTTGTGTAAGAGCAAAAAAAAAAAAAAATAGCCACCATTACAGTTAAAGTTATTAGTATGGCAACATAAAAAAAAATTAGGCGTAAGATTTACCAGTGCAGATGAGATCACTACTCTACACAGTCTATCTTCCTGCCTCCAGCAGTGACCAGTGCTTCATTTCCAAGGCAATATCTCTGCTAAGGTGAAGTTAAGGTTGCAAGCGTACAGGAACTTTTTTTCTTTTTTTCATACTGTAATTTTAAAAGTGTTAGAAAGTCACTAAATCAAAATTACAAGCAATACTTTCACAGCATGCGAAAAATCCGCACCGCAGTCGTGATTATTCCAATTGAACTCTTAACAATAACTCCTGAAATGGATTTAGACTTTACAGCTTGCTTGTATTTGATCTCGGCTCAAGGAAACGAGTTAAGCACGAGGAGCTGATGAAGATGGTGTAATTGCTGACACTTGACATGACAATCACTGCACCGGTCCTCTTGTTTATCACTTCACCCCAGATTGTGCAAAGAATTTAGGTTTGTAACTTCTAACCCCATATATTGGCAAAATGTGACCTGACGACGAGTCCATTTATTGTAATTCACCCTGGATTGGAAGGGGTTTGGATAAAACACACAACTCAGACTGTTGTGCCTCACACAGGGCACTGCTGATCCTGACCACGCTCCAGTTCCTGTAGGCATCAGCCGGTCTCACACATCTCCTGCTCCATCAGAGGTCAATGGCTGGAAGCTCTTCTCCACTAAGAGTGCCCACCTCTAATATATTCCCTTCTTCACAGCTGGAAGCACAAAAGCAGCTGGTTTTTACATCTGTTTTCACACGGGTTTCTCACTGGTATAAAAGGCAACGCTTTTGCCACAAAAAAAAAAATTAAATAAATTTCTTTTCCTGGAAAATGCTCTGAACCTGTAACGGGGAAAAGCAACATAATCACGGAGGTAAAAACTATGTCCCTGTTAAGAGTGAACCCTTGGGCTACACAGAGGGAGGGCTGTGTTTGGGCACAGAAGATCCTACGCTCAGATCCTAATGACCCATTACATCAGCTCTCCCGCGTTAGGACGATACGGCCAGCAGTTGCTGTCAGCTTTAGAAAAGATGTAGAGCAATCTATGCATATGTTATCTGCTAAAAAAAAAAGCAAAGAGAATTCTGTATATGCTAGAGCAGGGAATTTTCATGCTCGCTCATCTCAGCTTCTAAAACCCAACTGTATGGTAAGGGCAGGAGCTGCTCGATTCACATCATCTACGTGATGTTTTTCCTGTGGTGGGTCACATCCTGCCGCTTCTGATCTCCATTTAAACAAAACAAAATCCTTTTTCACCTTCTGAAAACACTTCTTACGTGTATTTTTTCTTCTAAGCTGGAAACATTAATTTATTTCCTCATAATTTTCAAGGCACATCACACTTCCACAAAGTACAGTTAACAAAACACACAGGTGGAAATGAGCACTGGTCTGAAGTCTCAAAGCTGCTTGTGTTGAATTTTGAGTTTCTCCCAAAAACATTTCTAGTCAGAGGGACCACAAACTTGTCCCTAAGTAGATGCTTGGTGTTTATTAAATTTTTACAGTTTATATTCACTGCCAATGCTGTTTCTCAACTTTCAGTGGGTGGAACAAGCTACTTGCCATACTACACAGTGAGAGACGACCTCCGTCATTTGAGTCGTGCCTTTATGTTACCATTACCCCTTCGTTTTCCACCAAATGCTGCCAGATTTTACCTCCACCACTCTTTGCTTACAGAGTTTTCCAAATGGCACCGTCCCTCTGCAGCCCCCTCATGAAAGACCAGACAAGAAGGGCTGTATTTTGATCCCAACGTGGGGACTGGGGAGGCAGACTTTCCTGCCCGTGATGGGAAATCACACGCCATTTATCCGAACCAAGAGCTCTGCATCCACAGCCACCTGTATCTGGATAGGAATAAATATAATACCACCTGCCACACGAGGTTTTCTTCAAAAACTTTTTCCTTTACTTAAGCCAGCCTGTCTCCCTGCTCTTGCTGTCCTGCAGCATGTCCTGGCACTTCAAGGAAGGCACCAAACACATTACTCCGTGTCTGTCTTTGCAAAAAGGGTACAGAAGGGACAATACCCGCGAGCAGCTTTCAGGGCATCAGAATGGACAAGGGAGCAGATTTCCAAGTCCCAGAAAGCAGCTCTGCCAAAATTCCCTTCCTGGAGCCTGCCAACAAGCGAGAGCACTTCTGATCCCTGCAGAAACCACCCTTCCTTTGCCCCAAGTTGTTACTCTGCAACTTGTGAAGTACCACTAACTCCTCCCGACGGGTCTCAAAGCCACGAATGGGGACAACGTGGCATCTCCCCTGCATGAGTATAAAGGGCAGCATTTAAAAAACACACACACGCGCGCAAAAAATAAAAGTATGTTCTCTTGTTGCAGCACACACATTGTTTTCAAGTCAAACTATGAGGCTCCGGAGGGCTGGGGGGAGAGGGATGGCTAAAGTAGACTGCTGTTTCCCAAAAGCTGTGGCTCGCAGCCAAAGCCAGGCAAGCATGGAGCAGATGGAGTCCTGGCAAGGCCTCTCCTGTCCCTGCATTAGCAGCATCTGCTCATTACCCAGAACCCTCGCCTGCTTTATCTAATGCTCCAGGAAAAGCATTTTGATTTGATTCATTTCAGTTCGGTAACGTGCAACACAATTAGTGGTAAAATCAAACTGGAGGGCTGCCAGTGCTGACAATAGGAAACAAGGCAGAAGAAATATGAGGCCAGTGGGTTGGAATTCAAAAATCACAACTGTGGATCAGGTTGCCAAGTCCCGTTGCCCCAGGTGTACATCCAGTGCCCCCACTGAGAACTGGCATGGGCGGAGAGAACTTCATTTTCTCCCCATACGTTTTTTTGGTTTTTTTTTCCTCTCATTTACCTCTCCTTGCAGCTTGTTTCTCAGAGGCTGACGCCGTCGGAAACATTCACCAGAAGTCACAATTCAATTTTTCTTCGCGGAGTTACAATTCACGTTGGATGCAGGCATCCCAGTCAGACTAATCTTTCTCCTTGCTGTATTTCATACGCCTTGGGAGGCGTTTGCTCCTGCCCAAGCAGCAAACCGGCGCTGTAAGGCAGGCGCGGCACGAGCTGAATCTGCCTGTGAGCTCTTCCCTGTGATCGGATGCCAAGGACATCGCTGCGTGAGCTCTGTTGAACTGGGAGAAACTGATGTTATCTGAACGAGCCTGCTAGCCAGGGATTCGACAGAGAAGTCTAGACTCTTTGCCTGACAGCACCACCTCCAACACGAGCAGATGGTTTCTCTGTGTTAGTCAAACTTACAAACAAAGAGAAAAAAGGGAGCTGGAAAAGTACAACAAAGAACAATCAAACACATTATCTTCAAAGTCGTCCTCTCCCTTCCCAAGTTTCAAATAATTCTCTCCACCAAACTGTAAATATACACTTTCAGATTCCAGTTAGTAAACATTTCTAAAATCAGTCTTCATAATTCCCTGTTCACATAGAAACTAATCTATTCTGACCAGGCTTCTCAAATCAGAGTAACTGCCATATCACAGAGCCCATTAAAATTTCTACCCAGAAGAATAAAAGATGCCGAGCTTTATGCAAACTAGTTCAGTCGCAGCACACACAGGTCTGACAACAAGGAATATGACAGAAAAAAGAACCCTAGACAAATTATTAGATTAGTCAGTGGGAGACTAGAAAACAAACAAAGACCCTCTGCTAGTCACTGTTTGGCACGCTGGACAAAAAGCCAACACTTAAAACTATCACCGTGTTATAATTTCCTATGACTCAAGTAAATAATATTAATGAGTATTGTGTAAATACCAGGCTTGCCGTTGTCAGAAAACATCAGCTATCAACAATTCTTAGCCACAGAAAACCGTTCTAGCATCATCCACGCTAGAAAAACAGCCAAGGATGTTGATCACTTCAAAACAGTTGTTTTCACATATAAAGCATTTAATTTATTTCTCAAATAAAATACACGGATTAGAGATTTTGTCTGGATGACCCATCTTCAGTTGTTTTCACACGCAGAAGTGCCAGGATCAAAGATGGTGTGTGTACAAAGCTCCCTAACTTCAAAAAAGCTCTTTATTCATACCCAAGGTGAGGTTTTTTATGTGTCAAATCCTACATTTTAAAGACAGACGATAGGAACTGAGTTCTGCCTGAGGAACTCAGCTTCGGATCCCAATTGGCCAGCACTGTCCCATCCTGACTTTTTTAATTTCCACTCCCACGTCCAGTAGATGTACTGTTGGTCTCTGGCTCTTGTAGCTCATTCTATAAACATCTAAGTACATTTAAAACAATGCATATAAGCAGGATTTTATTAGGGCTTCATTAAAAATTAGGCCACAGTTTTTATTTCTCTATATCAAAGTACATAATAATCCACTGTTGCAAACCAATAGTTCAGTGAAGGAAATGTGCATCCACACACTATGCCAAGAGCAATAGAGGACGCCGATTAATCAGACATGCAAGTTTACCAGTATTCCCATAACAAAGCTTCGCAGCACCCCAAGGGAGTTTTGGACAGAGGAGAAGGCTGGTGGAAGAATATTTAATATTTTTATAGCAAAACAAGTTATTTGCTTAAGATAGTTTGGCTGGACTACAGCCTGGCACTCAAGCTTTGTGTAGCAGTTCCAGTAGGAATTAAACATCAGTTTTAATGGGTGCTATGTTCCAATGCCTCCTAATGCATTTAGGGTTATTGGCCAACTTTCTCACATAAAAGCAAGTGTGTGTGTGTGTGTATACAGGATTACAGACACACAAAAAGCTGAGCACAGCTGCTTCATTTTTGTAAAGCCTTTTTTTGTTGTTGTTGCTTTTTTTTTTTTTTTTTTAAATGGGGAGGAGAGTTGTGGTTACTTACCGTCCTCGTAAGCTGCTACAGCCAGAGAGCTGTTTATCCTCACAAAGGAGACATGTGGCTGAGGTCCAGCATCACCAGGACCATGCATCGGTTCCAGGATGGGGGCTGTGTAGTCCCAGGTGCGAGTGTCCCACAACCTCACTTCTCCTGATGTATATCTGGAAAAGAAGGCTATTATTCACCCCAGAACATCTGAAAAGAGGTCGCTGCAGGAGAAAGGAGGAAGAAACAAAAAGCGTCTTAAAACCATTTACAGCTCCTGATTCTCCTCCTGTTCACACACTCTGTGGACAAACCCACCAGCTTTGCTTATTTTATTTCCATTTATTGACTATAGCATCACATCAGGCAGGTAAATTGGAGTTACAAGAACACCATGACTGAGCTACCAGGGATTACCAACTATCCATATTAGCTCTACAACTGGAACGCAAGGAGAGACGGGCTCAAGGGAAGAAGGTAATCAGTAACGAGTCTAAATTACATCATGGCAAAACTTCAAACTGTTTCCTCCTGGTCTTTAAAAATTAGTGATTGTGATTGTGCCAAAGAAAGACTGTTTAATGAGAGGATTTATGTACATACATACAAAAGCTCACACGCATCCACCCATCCAACCCACTGCTCTTTATAGAAAGAAACTTCTCAATGCCTCATCAACAGATCAGATTTGCCTACATCTCTGAAGACTTAACACAATTAATTAATACGATTAAGTGTTGTCTTTGGAATTAAGGCAGTCTTCTTTGCAGAAGGAGCTCTCACTGAAACAGCAGAAAATCGTTTCATATCAAACTATAGTTTGCCAATGAGACAATAAAAAAACAGAACTCAACATCTCAGATAATACCGAATATATCTGAAATAATGAAGGTTGTAACACAGCAAGCAGCAGAGAAACTGTTCTGTGCCATCTATGCTGGGGCTCACAACATACTATTAAATTACAAAAACACTGCAGGCAAAGTAGAGGAGAAGATCCCTCTATGACTGGTCAAAGAACATAGTTAAATAGTTATTTGGAACAGTTATTCAATAATTAGTTAAGATACATTTTTACAGAACTGTGACAATTAACACTATCAAGCAGTCTCCCATCTCCTTCTCTGCAATACCCAAGCCTTGGATTCTGTTGGAAAATGAAGAGTGCTTCCTGCTCTGTCAGCTTGGTTGTTATAACCCAACTTTTGGGGGAAAAGTATTTCAAGGGAATGATTCTTAAAAGCCTCAAAGGCCTATGGGTTAGAAACCTGGCTGTCCTATGTTTATGAGGAAAACAAGAAAGTAATTATTTACAAAGGAGGCGACGAGAAGTGCTTAATAAAGGTTTAGAAGACGTTGGACTTGGACTGAGGTTACCCGGGTCTCTGGGGAGTACCATGCAACTGGGCTACAGGTACTCAGGAGCAGATTACTTCCAACGGCTCCGAGTGAAAATGCTCCACTTTATGCAACTAATTAAAGTGCCTGAGGGGGCGGTGAAGCCTGTCAAGCAGAAAGAGATGCACATTAATTCTCTGCACTGAATCGGGAAGAAAGAAAACCATGTCCTTGTCACCTGGCTTCTTCTTCAGTGCTTTACGTGGTAAGAAAGAAGAAAATGAGAGAGAACAGGGTGGGACAGCACTTCTGCCTTTTCCTCCTTCTGCAAATGAGGCTCAAATCCCTCCACGAATCTTGCTTTAATTTCCAATTAACAGCGGCACTACTTAAAAAGATCAAGAAAGAAGCTTTCCTAAAGCAAAGCAAAATGATTCATGTTGGACTGAACAAACAGTCCAGATTAGTCCATAACAAACATCCTCAGTTTATAAAGCTGAAAAGTGCTCATTTTGGATATTTTAAAACCTGGAGATAAAACACAACGGGACAGGTAATTGCACAGACCTGTTGCAGTCCCACTCAACAAGACACAGACATAAAGCTTTGAAAGCATTTTAATTTTGAGCTGCTATTTGTTTCCCTTCATGTCTGGGTTGGTTGGGGTCATGTTTTCAAACTTCTCCCAACTACAAAGAGTAGCAGAGTATTCTCAAGGGGGAAGCCAAAATTCTCCTGTCACCACGTGACCCTGAAAAGTGAGTTTCAAGGGAGACATGAAATACTGGTAGAACTGTCAGAACTAAGTGGCAGAATATTCATTTTCATCGCCAAATAAGCAAGGAAGAACAGCATCTCCTCCTAGTGCATACATACATACACTCGCTCTCACAGAGTCCAGTCCAGGAATGTAAAAAGAAAAGAGTAATGGATGGAGAAAACAGAATGATGGGAATAGAGAAGAAACATGGGGCTGGCTAATTCTCTGAGTGGTTTCTGGTTTTTCTACACAGCACACAACCCAAGTGAGCCAGGGCTAAAGACACACTACCATCCATAAAAATTAACATGGACTGCAATCATGGAATTAAAGATCCAACACCACAGTGCCACATTAAGTGCTCTAATTTTATCTGAGTCAAAGTCAACATTTAGTTTGAACCATTCTTTGTTCTTGAAGAAGAACCTGAACCACCTCTATAGCTAAACTCAAACTGGAACAGACCCACCAAATGTTTCTGACCATCAGCTGGAAATAAATTTGACTCAAATTCCAATGTGTTTGTGGTGGGACTCGTTAAACACAGGAACTGTCTCTGCTTGGTAGGCTCTGCATCAGACCACCCTGCAGCCTCCTCATCCTCCTCCCTTTCCTCTCCAGTGATGGACAGATACATGCTGAAGAGCTTTCACTTCCATACTGTGAAGCCATGCTGTTCTCCAACCCCAGCAAGGACCTGTTGGAACACAAGAGCTTGCTACATGTACCTTGGGTATGTTCTAGTAGGTTCAGACACCACAGAACAATCCATAAGAGGATCCTGGCCATAGTGCTCATTCCAGTTTCGTCATGAGACAACCCTGCCAGCACCCAGCAAACCCTACTTCCATTTGTGGCTCTCCATAAATCCCACCGGTGCGCTGCAAGACAGGACCAGTGCTTTAGGTTCATCAGGAAGAGGAGGGAGTAGGGCAGTAGGGCATCTTTGCTCCCATTCCTTCCACCCCACTCCTCACTCAGCACCACCAACCACATCCTTCCCAGAGCACACAACAGCATCTCGGTCCCACACGGCAAACCTAAAGGGTTTGGAGAGATGTTACAAGACCACGCTGGAAACACAAGCGGAGGTCCGGGTTCGGGCAGGGACCCAGCAGGGGCAAATGGGAAATATAAACCTTCTCCTCAGCTGACAACACACTCCGTTGGCCACCACCACCACATGCCCATTTCCAGCGTACACTGGGACTGTACCAGAACTCAACTGGAAGAATTTCAAACACAGATGAAGCCAATTCAGAACTAAAAAATTTAATGGTTCAACTCCCTGCTTTTAATGCTGTTGTAAAGAGCAGCACACTTTCAATTTGTAACCACAACAAAAGGCTTTTAAACTATTAAAGCATTGCCTTGCTATAAAAAAATAAAAAGGCTGCTTTATTGCAGATAATTGGCAAATCTGCCATATCAATATAGATGGCTGAAGAGAAGAACACACTGCACTGTACGGAACCTACTTCTAGATAATTTCAGCACTTCTATTCATTTCCTACAACAGCCTTTATACTTCACCATGAAAATTTGTTTGGATTACCAGCTCCTGAATGAAACAACCCAAGGTTTAAGTCTTCTGCCCCAAACAGGCACAGTCCCCCAATCTCATTCAGTTACCAAATTCTCTATCGAGATGGCTATGAGAAGCCCCCAGTTTTCTCCCGGAGTGGAATAAAAATAACTGTTTAATATAACAACAAATACATTCTATTTGCTATAATACCAACAGCATTCAGCAGCTGGTTGGTTTTTTTCTTCCCTGATGGGGGTATTGAGATGATTATTATGGTGGCAGGTAAACAGTCCAACATCTTATATAAACCACTTGCGCAAATAAAGCCACCCCAAAACCTACAAATTCTGAGTTCTCAAGTTCAAAGAAAAAAAATAAAATGTAGAGACCATACTTGATTTACTTCATTTAGAAAAGCTGTTCAAAGCCTTGCCTTCCCGAGCACAACAGGGAGCAACAAGAGTCTGTTTCCATCCCCCCTGAGCTTCCCCTCTCCACACAGCCCTGCCCTGATGCCTCCCGATGAGTTTGGTCCACACGGTACCTGGCTTTCGGCTCTGAGTCCACATCCTTCTCTCCTCATCCACCAGACACTGCCACCCTTCTCCTGGTGGCCAACAGAGACTCTCCACCCAAGTAACTCAGCTTTAAGAGACGTCCATTTCCCTCCGCTCCCATTCTTCTCAACGTTTCAGTGTATAGACATGAGAAGCAGCAGTGGGAGAAAAGACAAGAGCTATATTTTTCTAACCGTACTTCTCTTTGACAAGCCAGTTCTGTAATTCTGGGCAGATACGTATAAATCTTTAAAAATTAGTCTGCAAATTCAGCTTAAGCTTTACAGATATGCATAAAAATTCTTGCTGAAATGGAGCACCAAGAGGTGGAATGCATATGGTATAGAGAAACTGAAAAAAATTAATTTTGCATGCTATCTCCAAACATACTTTAATTAAAATACCTACTCACTAATCAAAACCATTTCAACCACTTTTTACTGGCAGCAATGTCATAATGAGATGAACGATTTCCTGGTGCCCTCTCACGTGAGTGAAAAGCAGGAGAGGGAAGGAGCAGGAGCCGGGGATGAAAAGCTGCTGCTGTCCCAGGAAGGCTGGGAAGCAGGTGGTGAAGTGCCGAGCACATGTGGGAGGAAGCAGAGATGGAGGCCGGGCACCGCTCTAATGAAGTGGTGCTGAAGAGGCAGACGATTTCATAAGGAGAAAAACATCAGGAAACTGGTCAAAACACAGAATCTCATCTGAAAAAGCTCAACCGCGTTGGATAGCAATAGCCAGAACAAATTTGGGGAAGAGGAGGAGGGGGAGGCTGATCTCTCTCCAGAGCCCCAGATGTCTTTATCGTTGCCTAATGACAATTATACTCAACCAATTAAGACACTGCTATCACAGTTGCATTGTTAGTAAGCCTTTGGCCCTGAGTGTTGATGGCTGTCTAATTAGTGTTTGTGCAAAGTACAACTGCAACTAATATATAAACTGACAAATACACAAAAGAAAAACTGTTAACAGGAACATTTTCAAAACAGT